GTAGGGTTGTTTTCTGTAGTTGGAGGCTTGTATCTGCAAATAAAAATTCATCATAAGGAAAAGCAAAAGAATTACATTGTATTCAAACCCAAAATAAATATTTCTAGCAACAATTCTGAAGTGATGAGCAAAACATAAACTCTACTTTCCCTGCAAAAAATAGAACTTTCATACAAGTTCAAAAAAAAAAAGAAATGGTATCAATATTCAGTATTTTTCCCCAAGTGAACTTCAGCACACTGCAGAAAGCTCTCTCTCTAAATTTTAATTAAGGCTATTCTGTTTCAACCACTTCAAATAATAAAGACCAAACAATAGGAGAAGAGTCTTGTTTTAATATGGACAAAAAAGAAAAACAGATTATGAGTAAATTAAATTAAACTCTATAAAATTTGTGTACAGGTAGTCTTTGTTTGAGAGCCAGTTTGGTGTAGTAATTAAGGCATCAGGCTAGAAATTGGGAAACCAGGAGTTTTAGTCCTGCCTTAGGTATAAAGCCAACTGGATGACCTCGGTCTAAACATTTTTCTTAATCCTAAAAAGGAGGCAATGGTAAACCTCTTCTGAAAATCCTTGCCAACAAAACTAGAGAGACTTTTCCAGTCAATATCCAAGAATCAAACATGATTGAATGGAAGGAAAAAAGGAATTCTTATTTAGCGATTGCCTTGTTTAGAGACCATCACAGTTACGGCAGTGATGAAAAAGTAACTTTACAAATCCTCACATTTATGACCCTCACGGCTCTGTAAATAAAGGAAAGCTGGAGTAAGAATATAAACATTGTAGTTTCACTTAGTGACCATTTCCCTTAATGATAAGACTTGCTAGTCCCAGTTCTGGTTGTTAAAGTGTAATCTAGTATATTAAATAGTATAATAAAAACTATATTATGAATTACTGGCTAACTGTGTAAGTGTAACTGTGTAAATATGTAAGGCTCACAAAGGTAGTACTTAGGCAATCAGACCAAGACTGCCTTCATTAAATGTTGTGGGTGTAAAACATGACATCACCAGATTGCATTGCTGAATGATGGCAATCCAGGCAGTCCCAGTTTCTGTTGTAATCCCTGGAGTGAGAAAAGGTAAGTAAGGAGCACAGGAGGAATTGTGCAGGTGCCACAGGAGGCACTGCAGGCACTAGGAAGCACCAGCAGATCGGTGTGGGCCTCAGAGGCTGAGGAGGGCCAGCAAAGGTGCTACAGACAGGCATGAGCTACAGATGACGAAGTGTACTATAGAATACGAGATCTCTGGGATCTCATAGTCCATAATGAGCTCCTCTGGGGAAAAAAGCAGAAAAAAATTACTTACTGGAGCGACTTGCAAGCTTCCCTGCCAGTTTTCCCATTGACAGTTTGCGCAAAACTGGCATAAAAGTCCTCAAATGGCAATCACATGATGTGGCTTGCTGTGATGTCATAATTGTGAGCTGGGCACCCAAGCTCCCAGATCGTTATCAGACAACCATAGGGATGCTGCAACAGCTGGAACTTCAAGGGCTGATTGTAAGTCCATAGTTCCAGTGGGTTCAGCACCACTGTATCTTTGAATGGTTAATGAACATACGAATGTAAACCAAGTACTATCTGTGTAGGCAACCAGCTTCAAGTGCTGGTTGTAAGTTTGTGGTGTAGTTTTTCAGTGCCACTGTAACTTTGAATGGCCACTGAATGAATAGACATAAACCAAAGCCTATCTGTGTAGGCAAAACTAACATTTAAGGGCCAGAAATCAAGTTGCATTATCTCTCTTTATTGGATTCCCTTGACCAAAGGGGCTTTTTAAAATAAAAACCATGAAAAAGATATAGAGCTCTTTTCTATTCTTTCTTCTTACTATGTTGGCCTATTTAGTTTGTTGTATGCCCTGGACATCCCACAGGTTGTTCAAAAGTTTGCTTGACAGAAAAGAGTAAAAGCAGCAGTACAGATTACTCCTTAATCATAAAACATCTCAATGCAGAGAGATTGCAAATCTAGTACAAATTTGCAACTTGCTGTACACTTACTTGGATATAAATCCTTCTAAAATCAATTGGTATAGCCGTAAGTTATCACACATATGATTGTACAATCTAATTTGTAGTAGCCCAATTTAACTACATTGTTTAACAAGGGTATATTTCTACAGCTGCACTTGGCATTACTGAATTAGTTACCACCATCTGCTCTTAGTTATTTCTTAAATTTTGAGATTAAACAAAAATAATACCCAGAAAAACTACTGGAAAAATGTGACTATTATGGCAAAAACAAATCATGTTGTACATTATCTTAATTTCAGATAAGACAAACATGATTATCAGGATCAGATCTGATAGTTGAAGTCATGAGATTAAATTTCACTTGAACATTAGGAGTGCTTTGGAATTGTTGGAAGAAATGTCCATCTAGGTTCAGTTCCAAGTAGGGAGAAAGACACTGGAAACACGGAGGCTGCTTGGAAGGATTGTTTAATGGTGAACAGGACCACATGGGTTTGAAGTCCTGAATAGCTCACCACATGGAGTGGAGAGTGAGTGTCATTTATACCCTCTCTTGGGCTTTGAACTTGAGCTTCCTATTCCTGTGGCAAGGGCATGTATTCTATTGGTTGCAGACTCCCATGTGGAGTCATGTTTGTCTGAATTAAGGTTGGTTGAACCTTAGGCTGATGTAATGAAGGGGCTTGGTTGTGCCATGTGGTGAGCTCTGCTGATACCATAGATAATCCTATTATGTCCTGGAGGGTCATGTCTTAATCCCATCACCTTGGAGCTGAGGTCTTTTGTTCTGTAGATAGGCTGCCTCAGTCCTCAATGGACACCAAATATCTGCTGGGGCCAGGGAGCTGCAAGAGCTGCTTTGTCTTTAAAAACATGTTTCTTCTTTTCTCATCCAGGGAAATATAATATTCTGCCTTTTTAATGTTTCCTGAAATATTTCATTCTTCTAAAAGGGGTGGGTGTTAACTTTCTTCAGAATAACAAAAGCAATTCCTGCATTCTCATTGGGAATCTAAAGCTCTGTGATGAGCAGAGCATGGGATTAAATCACCCTTCCCCACCTTTTCACATCCTTCTTGATATGCATTTATAATGGATTTTTAAATGTAATCATGAAAATGTATTTCAATACTATTTTACAGATTCATATGCAAACAACCACTCCACTTTATTTCTTCATTCAGTTTTCCAATGTACTTCCTGAAACTCAAGCCATAATTACTAGTTTTTGTTTTTACTAAACTTCACTACATGTATTCTATAATGCAGAAAAAATATGTCCACATTTTATCTAAGGTATATTGCCTCTTCCCTCATGCATATCAAGTAGTATAGCAAGACCTCAACCAAACATAAAGTTACTCATAATTTAATAATGCACTTTTAAAATAAAAGGACTTGAGCCATGCCTATCCTATTTCAATATACCAATGCATTTTTCTCTAAACTGAAGCTTTAGTTTGAAATTAGCCATATCAAACTATGTTATGCTTTCCCAGGCTTTATTCAGGTAACAATTTATCCTTGCTTTGAAGTTGTAATATTAAGTATCCCTGGGCCTTTCTACATAGTCATCAATTAGTACTACTAAAAGTAGTTACGCTAGAGTTAAAAGAACTGGGCAACAAAGAAAAAAACCCACCTCTATCTCTTGTTATCATTTCATTTTGTGTGTGTGTGTGTGTACCTACATACATACATACATGCATGCATGCATGCATACATACATACATATATATATATATTCTTAAGTTTTCGCGGGTACTTACATGTATGGTATTCAGCTTTGTTTGGGTATTTTCCCACGTCATTATAGTTGTGCTTTTAAAGTTGTAGCAACGTTTCGGCAGAATCTCATCTGCCATCATCAGGCTTCTGTATTG